TTCAAACGGTCCAAGGGAAGCAGACTCGACCCGAGCATCGAGCGAAGCGTCCTATAGCCACCTAAAGTCCCCACACAAAACAAAGAGGGCCTTCCCTCTGCTTCTGTTGTAAACATTTGATTTGTTAGTTTGTAATAAGCTTTCTTATAAATACAAACGAAACTCCTTTCTTCGGAAGAATCAAATTTTCACCCTACAGAAGATGGCGACCACAGTGGGAGCAGCTGTTTCATCGAGTGAAATGGTGGTGGCTCAGTTTGATGAGGTTACTATCGGGACGACAGTAGAGTCCCTCGAAATCGAGTTCGACCAGGCCAAGTACGAAGAATACTTGTGTGCCGGTCGACCGTGCCGGTCGACCGCCAAACTCTGCTGATTTTTCTGAGTTTCTGTAATTTCTTCACCGATGAGTTCTTCACCAATCAATACTTTGTCCCGTTGCTTGCCTTCCCATATCCAGCTGCAGTCACACCGTGATCCAAATCAGTACCGCATTCCCCTGTGAACACCCCGCTCGAGTACAGTTGAAAGTCTGAACCCCCCGCATCAATCGCAACTGACACTGGCTGGTTAGCAACCGCTTTGAGCAGGGACGACTCGTCGTTGGCAGGCACGTCCTCGTAGCCTGTGATGGTCGCAGCACTGGCTGAAGCCTTTTTGGAACTGCAGGTGCCATCGGTGGCCGTGTATGGATACTTGGCTTCGGTTGTCAGGCCTTTGTTCTTCATCATGAACTTGAAGGCGTTGTCCATTAATGGTGTCGCAGTCCACGAGCTCTTGTTCAGAGAGGGGGATGAGTTTCCCTGTGCTCAGCTTGTTCAGAGAGGGGGATGAGTTTCCCTGTGCCCAACAGCATCCTGCATTCACATAGGCATGACATGAAAAACCGTATTAAATAATAGGGCTAAATGCACATATAAACCCCCTGCAATATCGCACTTTAGTACTTACTACCCAGTAGCTTGATTTTAACATATAGACCCATATATAAAATTGACTCTTTTTATCCTCAGACAGATTCGCTAATTTCACCCCGGGGGAAATATCAGCGAAAATTTCAACCAGGGTAAAAGAGTAAAAACCTCACCCAGGATTTCTCTCTATAAAAATCAGCCTGTGTACGATTAACCCTAAATTATGTCTGCATTATTAGGAAAGTGGCGGCGAGCCAGAAGGGGGTTCGAGGAGCAAGATTGGGAGGACTCGGCAGATCGAGACCGGAAGATTGCCTGACCGCTGAGGCTTACTACTACTCCAAAGGAGACGAAGCTTGCCGGTCGCTTCGATTACCTCGCCGCCGGGAGCTTGTCGGCCACGCTTCACACGGTGAGTGGCACTTTGGTAATTTTTTCTTTTGACGCCACGGTTGTAGGGCTGGTACCTCACCGCGGGGACTTGGAGTAACGGATGGGGGGGGGGGTCCCTTTTGGGCTCACATGTCGATCCACGGCTTGCCCTTTTGCTGAGACCAATCGCTGAATTCTCGGTTTAGCAAGGTTGATAAGCTAGACTATGGACATTCCGACTGGGTTTAATTACTCAAAGCAGTCCTAATGGTACATTTTCCAATTTTAATTTAATATTGTGGGGGTGATTTTCTTGAGATTTTTACCTTTAGCTAGTTGTATTTTGATGGTAGTTGAGGAGTAGATGGGATAGACTGAAAATGGTGGATTACTAATAAGTTGAGAATTAATGTGTCCCAAATTGTTTGGGTGGAAAGTTGATTTCATTAATGAATTCATTACAACTTTGAGCGTTACAATAAATTTGAGAAAATAGTCTTTTTATAAGATTTTTAACACAATGAAAATAAATTATAACTCTCTTTCAAACTATACACAATAGCCGTTTATCTCCTATTGCTTGCGTGAGATCTTTGCCGGTGTCGGGGTTTATCTGTGGACCGTCTACGGATCGGATCCGATTGATAGAATAATTGATCAGAACTCCTATTTCACCAAGAAAGTATTCGCTAAAGTATTGATATCGACCAAGCGAAATTAGTACTCTTCTCGAGATTAAGACTAAACATAAACTCAAGGAAAAGAAGACGGAGCTTCAGATCCTTCGAAAGACTCATTCTTTATGCCGAAGTTCGTCGGGATCTAGCTAGCCTCCTCTGAAATTTCGTGCTCTTTGACTCTTCAATCCAGCAACACATCATCCTCTTAATAAAACTTCAGATCTGGAGAATGGGGGCCCTATGCTTGTATTTATAAGACTTCGGATGCGGTTATTTGGATGAGAATGAGTGATTTAACCATATCTTCAGTTAACAACGGCCTAACCTTTCTTAGATATGATATCAAGTCAGTTGGGACACTGTGGAACGAACAAATCCTGAGAAATATCAACAAACTCGTCAAAAAAACACGTTTCAAGAACTAATTGTGCGGGACAAACACTGGTGACCCGCACCTGTACGGGTTAGTACTTAGTGTCCCGCACTGTCCCGCGCTGTGTGCGGGTGAGCAATTGGCGACCCGCAATAGTGCGGGTTAACTCGTGCCGACCCGCAATTGCGCGGGTCAACTCATGCTGTCCCGCAGTTGTGCGGGTCAGTTTTGTGCTGACCTGCGCCCTTGCGGGTTAATTGAGGCGCTTAGGCATTTTTTTTGCCTTTGCTATTTATCTGACTCGTAGGCTTTGCGGGCTTGCTTCATGCATTTGTTAGCTTTTATTCTGCATAGGAGGACCCCTTTAATTCAGATAAACCTATCAGATTTGGATGATGATCTTCATTGTCTTCATTTAGTCTTGAACTACGTGCGGGGATCCATAGGCATTTTTTGACGCCTACAGATACCCCCTCCAAAGTGTTTCAGTCTCATTCTTTTATCGAGGAGACTGAAATGCTTTGGATATGATACACTCTTGGATTTCTTCAGCTTTTAGCCTTCAGTATTTTATCGGATAGCTGAAATTCTTTCGGTACGACGTTTATCGTCTGATCGTTGTCGAAATCTTGAACTGGGGTAGGCGTGCTAATGTCTGAAATAGCTTGTGTCGTTGAATCGACTTTGAACTGATCATCGTTGTCAGGAACTTGCATCTGAGTACCATCGAACTCCCTGGAATAATTCTCCTATCTGAACAATCATCCTAAGCCTTATTTTAGCAAGAAACATTGACACGCCAATCGGTGTTGACTTTCACTGTAACATGTTGAATGGCGTTGACACAGTTTATACTCATGCGTCTGCTAGAGTCTACACAGTTTAAGCTCTTAAGGCGTTGGAGCTGGGAGGACTAGTTTATACTCATATACTCTTGGGAGATTCGGGAATCAGTTTTACCTCATGCACTCGTTAGAGGTTACCAGGTTATCCTTAAGAATATTCTATGTAATATTCTTCAGAAACTTTCCGTCAAAGATGGGAAACAATTTAGACTCATATTCTCATTGGAGTATGAAAGTGGGTCCCGAACATATCGAAAATGGGCGGAAGTGGGCAAAAATACCCATTGAAGTATGAAAGTGGGTCCTGAATATATCAAAAATGGGCGAAAGTGGGCGAAAATACCGCGAAAATCGATCTGTGCCAACTTTGTGTTCGGGCCAACCCTTGGTGACCCGCATGAGTGCGGGTCAGTAATCACTGACTTGCATGAGTGCGGGTCACCAAAAGGTGACCCGCACCAAGCGATGCTTAGGGCGGTTGGGATTTCGGCTAAGTCTCAAAACCTGATCCTCTTCCCTCTTCTTTCCATCTTCTCAAGTTCAAAACTTCTCCCCCTTTAAGAACTCTTCTCCAAGAACTCTCAAACTCTCAAGCTCCTCTCTTTAAATTCCTTGAATCCTCTCCTCTAAATCTTCCCCTTTCTTCTCCACAAGGTGAACTCGAGGTCTAGGGTTTCGGATTGTGCCAACTTGCTTGTTGTGGATTCGGGTCTGTACCGCTTGGTTCATCTCCTTCTCGAGCTTTGGGTAAGTTTTCCCCATTTCATGGCTTCAAATCTTTGGTGATTTCTTCATTGCTTAAACCAAACCCTAAATCTGATTTAGGGGTTTAGTCAAAACCCTAATTTGATTGTTGATTGATTTCTTGATGTTTTGAATCCAACAGGAACTCGAACTTTCTCTCTTCGTGATTTTCTCCTTGTTGAATACAGTTCTTCAAATTCAGGTGAACCCACGCTCACTTATTCTCAATCTCAGTCAAGTTTAATCATTAAATTTTCGATTTTGGGCAAATATTGAATTTTTAGTTTGGGGTTTTGCGACATGACTGAAGTTATATATATATATAACTTTGATTTCCCATTGTTGGTTGAGCCTTGAGTTTGATAAGGGATGATCTGAAGCTTTGGTTGTTTGTGGAATTTGAAAGAACCTGGTTTTGTGTAGGAATCAAACCTCCTCACAGCCCTTGAATAGTGTCCAAAGCTAGTGTTTAGGTCTGTGGTTTGTGCCCCCTTTCAATATGGTCTTGATTGGAAACCAAGGCTTTGTGCTCGAACTGTCGGATTCACGAGTGTTGAATCGAATTAATGTTGTTTGAGCTTTTGGGATGATAGCCAAAATCCTTTGACTTGGTTGCATATGTGCATTCTTGTCTTGATTTTGTATACAAACTTAGCCTGGTTAAGGCCTTTGGATAACAACCAATTTGAACTGTAACCCTTCAGCTTAAATCTTGGTTGAGAAAGATATTCGAGTTTGTTGCCTTGTATTTGTTCAGCTTAAACTTCGTGTAAGAATTGAGCTTGTATCCACCTTTTGGTTCTATTCCCAAACATGAATTGAAGCTCTTGATGTGAGGGATATAACTGAGACCCTTGGCCTTAAGCATTTAAACGTCCACGTAGACACCTAAGGCCTTTATCTTAATTTTTTTATCGATTAAACTCCGGGTTGTAGGTTTAATTGGATTTTTAACCGGAAAATCCTATTTTCATAGAATTTCAGTGAAATGTCACAATTTTCCTGTTAATATCGGATTCATGCTTCCTCGATTCTCTATATAATTGAACTATTGTCTTCCATTGCAGATTCATCATGTCGACGAGGAGATCACGCATCTTGAGGAGTCGATCAGCCACTCAGTCTCCTGAGAGAGAACCCCTATTTTTCACAGGTATAATTTTCTACTTGTGAATTCGGTATTTAACATATCATATTGCATATTGCATCCCCGCTTTGTCCTCTTTGGTGAGGCAATTGGGAAGAACCGATACTCTCCTTTGTGGGGGTTAACGTTTCTATATTATATCTCCGTTTTGTCCTCCTTAGTGAGGCAATTGGGAAGAGCTGACACACTCCTTTGTGCGGTCGACGCTTCACAGGTGCATTTTGCTTGGTCAAGTTGCATCTTAAGGCAATATGAGGTGATTTTTTACCATATCACTCTCCGTCGGACAGGGTGTATTGTCACGCTATTTGTGCGACAATGTACGTTGTCTTACGTATGCGTGATACCGTTAAAATCGTCTCGGCGATCGTAAGGCAATGACTCTATCTCACGGATTTGTGAGATGAGTTCAATGCCCTGTATTGCCTTAACATTTTCTTATGATCATATTTAATTTACACGTGTTACTTCTTTCAGTTGAATACCCTACGTTCAATGCCCTGTATTGCCTTAACATTTTCTTATGATCATATTTAATAAACACGCATTACTTCTTTCAGTTGAATACCCTGTGACGAAATTTTCTCCATTCGAGATAGATGGCCATAGGAGTAGGTATTACACTACTGTTGACGATCCAACGTCGATTCCGTCTACTTCTCGATTTGCTTTGAACATCCCAGATGAACTCTCTTAGCTGGTACGAGAAGGGGATCGATGACCATGCGCCAGCTAATCACTGACGCGTCGTTTGCAGAAGATACGGATCTTGCTTAGCCTCTAAGAAAGACGAATTATATGTTCGACGATTCCGTGACAAATCCAACCGCCATATCCCTCGAAGATGAGCGGTGGTTATATAGGGATGGCGCAATTTGTTTATACCTCCCTCCATTCCCTCGTCATCGCTCACTGACAGAATTGCGAAGGCAAGCGGTAACGCGACAAATGCCATGGACCCTGACAGAGGAGCACACCGATATTCATTGCGGATATGTCACCAGCCACTCACTCCCGGACTCAAGTGGTAGAAGCCACGTCATCGGATTACATCCCAACGTGATGGGATTCGAAGACCCGTCTAAAGGGGAGTTATTTACAGTGGCTCGCACAGTAAAGAATCGCCTTGCTATGTTAGGGCGAGAGTTACCTGTCGAAGGTTATAGATGCTATGGCTAGTCAAATTCTTCAGATAAGTTATGGCGGGGCAGGATGACGGGTTATGTCCTCAACCGATGGGGTGCTGAATTGAAGGCGATGGGGTTATATGAAGTCATTCGTGCCACCAAATATGGGCTACCGGTGAGCGTTATCCACTTCACCGGACTAATAGAGTTGTACAATCCAAACACCAACACTTTTCTAACCAGGAACGAAGAGTTGGGACTACCTTTCCATGAGATGCAAAGTCTCTGGATTACCGATAGGAGACATGCCATACCAGGAGTATTTCCCTTCCAACCGGGAGTTGCTTCAATTGAAAACCCACAAGCCTGCTCGATATGACACGTTATGGGAACCTACGCGTCACTATTAGATAGCCCTAGCCAGAATCAATCCAATAGCCAAGAAGAAGTCTTCTCAGATAAGCCTGAAGCAGTTCTCGAGTTATCTATTCAAGAATTTGGAAAAATTCGACGAAGCAATTTGTGAGCTTAAACCGCTAACTCCTTCGGAGATCAATGAGCTGATTGAGAAATGTGGTGCCCAATCCTACACCATTGCGAGTGCCGAAAGTAGATTCTCTACGGGACTAAGTTTAAGACTTTCTTATGGTGCACCCAGAAGCCCATTAACCTCAAGACTTTGTTGGCCGGGTACATCGTAATCTGGTTGAAAAAGTGTGTGGTGCCATATCAGACTTCTGACGCTCTACCGATAGAGGTATTATTCCCTGCTGTCCAGCTCACCTACGGGTGAAGCTTATCTCTTCTGCCAGCGATGGTCGCCGACATCCATCGTGGGCTTCGTCAAGTGGTCACGGCTTTTACTCAAATGGGGGATACTCCATCCGATAAGATCCCTATGGCGAAAGCGGAGCTCCCTTACACCTTATCTGATGGGGTGACTGGTTCTTTATCGTCCCAATCTGATGTCAGTCCCAACTAATGCATATCTATCCACTTCTTTGCTACAATTACTCGAGGCATGCAAATGGAAAGCTCGGGACCTCTCAGAAGTCAGGAGGAGTTTGCATATCTACAAGGGTTGGGTGTTCAATCCATGCTTCTCTCGATTTACTAGCCGATATAGTGGGTTGCTAGCCGACGTAGAGGTGCTGGGAACAAGTCGGACTTCTCTTGACGTTAGCTGTTTCAGATGGCTGATGAATATAAGGCCAGGCCATCTCGTCTTTTGAGTGAATGATCGTTGCTACCTGGAGCCTTACCTGCCGTGTCGGTTCGCCCGTCAACTTGGATACGACCAATTATTCACCGGGAACCCGAACCAGCAGTTTCATACTTGTGGCGGATTAGTAGACGACGCTCGAGCTTGGCTATGGAACGTGACGTGCTGTACTGGCGCTAAGTTTAGTCTTCCGAATGTTGAACGCCACTTAGAGTTGACATATTTATGTTGCAAGTAGCTCATGTCAGCTATGAGCCCGTCCCTCTAAGGCCAATTACAGAGTTGATGGCCGAGGCTGCATTGCGATTTGTTGACAGGATGGTCCGAGAAAATATACAGCAACGAAGGAGACGCGACAAGAAGCTTGCTGGTCCTTCAGGCAAAGGAAGCGGAAAATAGAGGAAGTAGAAGAGGAGTCGTTTGCTTCCGACAAGGAGACTTCTGAAGAGGAAGAAGTCACTGCTGGTGGAGGTATGGAAGTTGACAGCGATTTCGAGGAACATGCGACATGTTTGTTTGAGTCTTTTCATAAAGAGCTATGTGATATCGATCGCTGATAGAGCTCGCCGACTTAAAGCTCAAAAGAAGTTGAAAATTTTCCCCACTTATAATAGAATGACGGTTGCACTTTCAGATGTAGGTTCCGAGGAACAAGAGGGAAGAAGTAGCATTGTCACTCGTACCCGATCTCGGACCACAACTCAAACTGGATTGTAAATCGGGCCGCGTGTTACATCAACACAGGACAGACCTGTAGATCCTGAAGAGGCTCATGCTGCAAAACGAATGAAAATCATTTTCAAGCGACGTGCCAAGCCCCAGGCTTCTCAAACAGAAGTGTTCAACGATGTGCTCATCGGTGGGGAAGGTAATGTTTCAATCTCTGTTGCCTTTCAATCTTTTCATCTATTAAGTCTTAGACTTATCAAATTTTATATTTCAGGGGGTCATGAAGAAAATGAAATGGCATACAACCCTCCTTCTCCCGACTTAGATTTTTTTGGAGGATCTAGCATCTTGCCACAAACGGATGAGGTTATGGCTGAGGATCTGACGGGTGTTGAAACAGGGGCGACCATTGAAACCGGCGAAGGTGTCGTTGTAGAACCTGGTTTGTCTACAATGGTCGCCAGCCCAGGTGCACCTATTACCGGTAGTACACATTTCAGATGGAAATATCAGGCATTAAACGACTCAAAATCCGGCCCTCCCCTAATTATTTACATGCTTCTGGCTCTTTTAGAAAAGCTACAAGAGGCGAGTGCTGATGCCGAGATCATAGAGCCTATTGTTGGCACCGGAGGTCAATTAATTCCCATTCATTGTCAATTTTCAACTTCTATTTCCATGTCTTAACACTTAGACTTTTCTGTAGATATTTTGATGGAAGGTTTAAGTGACGAAGAGGCCTTTCACAACGCAGCCCTCGCAGAGTCGGACGCACCTTTATCTGATCCGGTATAAGACCCTTTAGGATCTGGCGACAGGCCGTTCGACGACATGCTGTCAGAACTGTTGTAAATTCGTGCCAAATACATGTAAAATACGTAACAGAAGACTATATGTATAATAATACTAAGATGTAAAGAGCATGAAAAATAAGCTAGGACCATCCTAATTAAATCTAACATGATCCCTATAAAAAAAGAAAGAAACTAAGAGCTTTGAAGGCTTACTTTCGAAGCGTGATTCGGTGGAAGATCGAACAACCCCTAGCTATTGCTCCTTGTTGTTGTAAACCTTTTTGTAGTGGATCTTCAAGTCATCAAGTGGGCTTAATAAAATCAGAGTCTTCTTGAGACACAATGTAAGATATCTACCTCGGGGTACTTTAAAATCCTACTATTTTATCTTACTCAAAGATTGCTAGAGTTTAGTAAGAGGTAGAGCTCTCTTTTTTTATTCTTTTATGAAAAAACCACTTAGCCAATTTTTCATTAACTTTTTTATAAGAGAGAGCTCATATATATATAGTGAGATATGTCGTGACTCATCTCATGAGCTATGCCATGAGTCATCTAAATGTAATGATTCCTTTCATGAGTCATGCAATGACTCATCTCATGAGTCATGCAAAGAGTCATGAAGAATCAAAACTATGTGCTAAAACCATGTACCCAAACCATACCATCTTAATAACTCATCTCATGACTCATTAATCAAGGTACAATAAAGTGTGTATTTCATAAATGAAAATACCACATCAATACGGTATTTCATAAATATGATATTTTATAATTTTCCAATCATTGACTAATAAGTCATCATATGACTAAAAAAATTAATGAGTTGACCAAAGGTCAACTGTTGACCAAAAAGTGAACTAGTTAACTAAAAGTTAACTTTATAGGAAAAATATTGGAATTCATTTCCTAAGCACATAGCATTCCGATTTTATCAATATACATAACAATTTATGTGTATCCGGTAAAATCATATATGCGTATTAATCATGCACATCACTCTATAAATTGTGTTTTATAGGATTTAAGTACACGCTTGGTGTGACTCTAGGGCCCAACTTAAGAACTCGGCAGTGGATGATATCCATAAGTACAACAAATGTGCTAGCTACACATGAAGACTACCCGGGTATAAGTTGTGATAAGTTTCTGTAAGATGCTAACACAATTATATCAGGACCACTTAATGATAATATTGTACAATCCGGTCTCTTCGTCAAACCATGTCAAACTATCGAGCCTAGGGTATGAAAAACTGTCAAACCCTAATAGCTCGATTAGTGTTTGTTGATATTAAACCAATAACCTATAAGATCAAAATGACACTCAATTTATCTTATTTACCTCGACTAAGGATTTCCTGGCTATAGTTATATCAAACAATCTTATGACATCAACCCTTTATACTGGGAGAGACGAATCTCATCTTGGCATCTCAATATCTACTTATGTCTCGGGATGCACCCAACAAGAACCGTTATGCACAACTCAATAAGAACTGTGGTTAGGTAAAAATCTAAGTACACCTATACTGACATGTAAGATATTACACTCATGCCTCAGGTCAAGAGACTACTATGTACTATATCACTTGAGAACTTCTATTTGATAGTTAAATATAATTACCAACTAGATGTTCTTAGTGAGTTATTCAGTCAACTCATTCACTAATGAGTCACCTGTATACTATATCTTGACGTGTCACATCAATGATCCAAGAGATGGATCATCATCCTACCAAAGGAAAAATAGAGTATATACTAGTCTTCCCAAAGTGATGATGTCTCATTTCAACACTTCATCGACTAGGAACATTTTAGAATATACATTAGCGACAAATCAGATCTTTTCTTTACGATCATATCCGAAATGTCTGATAGTCTAGTATCATTCTAAGGACATTATCTGTATTAAAATACTAGATAAATCTGATCAAAATAGCATACTATCATTTTGAATAAGTATGTTATATTCATATAGGTCCCGTTATAATATACAATTATTTCTGCAGGGCATCTATATCTAACAAACTCTCACTTGCACTAAAGCCAATCATTGTAATTGTTCGCGGGGAAAATAGCATTCTTCTTCATTGATGATTCCATTGCTATCTTAGATAACAACTTTTTGGGTTACAAAGATCCGATCTTTTTATAAGATCCGGTTACAATGAAAATCAAAGAAAAATAGAGAAAAATTACAACTTCTCCTTGTTTGTCGAACGAATCACGAGCTCCTGTTTTGCGGTCGCTCGCTTTGGTGGGTTGTTTGCCTGCGCCGGGGTTGTTTGACGTGGACCACCGCGCGATCTAGATCCGAACAGATTTACGCAGTATAACGGGTATTATTTCACTAAGGAAATAATAGCCGGAGGGATTATTTCACCAAGGAAACAATCGCTCGAATCTCGGGATCAAAGACCAAGCTTTGATCCGGAGTGTAACAACGTAGATCTGAGATCTCGATCCCCTCGAACTCCTGCCTTTTTGTGATGCGGGTGCTCGCCGAGAATCAGATCCGCCACCCCAGGGTGGCTCGGCTTTGGCCGAGCCACTCCGGGCTTTGCGTCCGTCTTTCGGTTGTTTCGGTCCTTGTATCCGCTTCATCCGTGATTCGGTTATGCGGTTTGATTGGTCTGAAATTGATTCATTGACTTGATTCCTGATTTGGCAATAAATCCGACTCTGAGTTTGATTCCAAAACTGATCATGACGCGATCGCGATTCATCCGGGTTCGCCTGCGGCGTTGCTCTGAACCCCGATTTGTTCTGAATCCTGATTTAGAAGTCTGGATCCCGATTAGGCAGTAAATCGGCTTTGGTGTCTGAGTTCGAATCCGTTATATGGTTGGATGACTCGTTGACTCCTCAACCCGTTGGCTTGATTCCGCACGCGAGTGGATTCATTCCGTTGTTCACGTGCGGTTCGTCAACTTCGTAGCCTTGTTAATCCGCTTTGTTGCGTGTCACTTGGCTTTGGTGTTGTGGACTGACGTTCGTGCTTAGATACGTCGCCCGATGGTTCATTAGTTCGTGTTGAGCCGTGTTAAGGGACCTATAAGCAATTTTATATGCCTACAGTAGTATCTAATACCCAATAGCTCAACATGTTTTTTAAATTGTGTACGAGCAATTGCCTTTGTGAATGGATCTGTTATATTATCTTTTGTGTTAACTCTTTCAATCTTGATCTCTTGGCGATCAACTATCTCCCTGATGAAGTAATACTTCCTCAGAATATATCTGGACTTATGGTGAGACTGGGGTTCCTTTGTCTAAGCTATTGCAGCATTACTATCACAATATAAAGGTACTGGATCTTCAATGGTGGGAACAACTTCCAGCTCTGAAAGGAACTTCCTCATCCAGACGGCTTCTTTATTCGGCTTCCATAGTAGAGTCTGCTACTGTGTCCTGCTTGGAACTTTTCCAACTGACACCCCCTTTATTAAGGATAAAAACATATCCTGAAACAGATTTACTATCATCGATATCGCTCTGAAAGCTAGAGTCGGAAAAAGCTTCCATTTGGAGGTCAATTTTACCGTATATCAAAAACAACTCTTTAGTCCTTTTTCGGTACTTAAGTATATTTTTGACCGCTTTTCAGTGTTCTTCTCCATGATTAGATTGGTATCTACTTACCAAACCGAGTGAATAAGCGAAATCCGGTCTAGTACATAACATGACAAACATGATTGATCCTACTATCGAGGCATAAGGAATTAGACTCGTGTGTTTCCTCTCTTCATCAGTCTAGGGAGACATCTTTTTAGAGAGTGAGATTCCAGGAGATGTAGGTACAAAACCTTTCTTGGAACTTTCCATGCTAAACCGCTTTAGCACTTTGCCAATTTATCTAGATTGGGATAATCCTAATATTGTTTTAGATCTATCTCTATAGATCTGAATACCTAGCATACAGGATGCATCACCCAAATCTTTCTTGGAAAATCTTTTTGATAGCCAAATTTTAACTGCTTGTAATAACGGTTGTTCGCGTCAAAAGTTGGTTTTGTCATGGAATTCATTATATCTTCAGTCGATTATAATAAATTCAAAAAAAAGATAGCCTTTTTATAAGACTTCTTTTACACAACAAAATGAAAATTACAACTCTTAGAAAACAAATGCAGGATCGTTGTTTGGATCACTGCTTGCGTGAGATCTTTACCTGTGTCGGGGGTGCGTTAGCCCGTGGACCACCAAATCACAGATTTTGATTGAATCGTGAGGGGTTTGATGATTCTGACTTCGTTTATCGAAGTGAGAATTTGAAACGATATCTTATCGAAGTAAGATAGTCGTTCTTCTTAAGATCAAGTCAAAGCTCGAATCTTAAGGAATCGCCAGAAGATCAAGAACTCTGCCCTCTCCCTGCTCTGGATTGCTCTGAAGTGCTCAAAATGATCAGCCCCCTCAAAAAATGACCTTCGGGGGGTATTTATAGCCCCTAGGAGCAGTTGGCGGAAAACACGCTCGCGAGACAGCATTTGCTGTCTCGGCTGTCGAGACAGTGTTTGTTGTCTCGACGGGCGAGACAATGTTTGCTGTCTCGGGCCGCAGCGAGACAGTAAACGCTGTTCTCGGAAATAGTAACCGTCAGATCCAGTTTTTCGTTTAACTGTCTTCCCACGTTTCAAACTCCGTTATTGTTGGCCGTATCCACGTGATCTCGCCCGCGACCGACGTTTGCCCACGTTCCTTGAACAGTTAGTGGCCACGTAGTAGGCAGTTACAAAGGCGGTTTTAACCATCTGAAAGTTTGTCTCACGTGCGAGACAAGTAAATTCTGTCTCGCGCACGGGCGAGACAGTAAAGAACTGTCTCGTGGGGCGAGAACAGTGAAGGACTGTTCTCGTCTGTGGAGCGAATGACAGTAAAAGTCTGTCTCGCCGGCGAGACAGTAAAGACTGTCTCGCGTGTGAGACAGTCTATACTTGTGTTCTTTTTGACATTTTGGATGATCTTCTCTCCAGCTGTATTTGGATATCTTTCAGTATTTTTTAACGCCTACAGATACCCCTTACAAAGTATTCCAGACGTATTATTTTATAGAGGACTCTGGGGCACTTTGGATAAGACATGCCTTATTTGCAATCCCTTCAATACTTGATTGAGTAGGTCGTATGGAAGGACCCTGTTTTCAGGAAAAGCTGCCTTTATCATTGATTTCATTAAACTTCATTCGTTACAATGAATTCGAATAACAAAGAAATAAAGATTACAACTTTCTTGAAAATAAACACAAGATCCTGTTTTGCGGTCTCTTGCTTGCGTGGGTCTTTTGCCTGTGACGGGGACGTTGATATCCGTGGACCACCTGGCACTCAGATCTGTTCCGAAAAATCGGACAGAGCTTCGTCGATCCGCGTGAGATCTAGAAGCTTGAAGCGTCTATCTCGGCTAAAACGAGATATCAGCTCTTCTTAGTGATTACCGGCGAAAGGTAATACTAAGGAAAGGGGGGAACGGGTGATGAAGGCTCTGATGAAGACCTCTCCTCCTCGGTTGAAGCGCTCGACCACTCTTCACTGCAGCAGGGCTTCGCCAAGCTCTCCAAAAATCCTCCTCCAAAACCAAGGCCCAATGGGGCTATTTATAGGTGTGTGGAGGGGTCTAGGGGGCCTAGACACCCCCTGATGTCTCGGCCTGGCCGAGACACCCCTGGGGTGTCTAGGCTTTTCCTAGACACCCCCGGGGTGTTTCGACCTCCCGAGACTCCGTTTGAGGTGATTCGATTGTTTTCTCTGTAAATTCTTCATCCGAACTCGGATTTGAGTGATTCCGGGTGCGTTGGATGCTTGACGAAGAGTTCGATCCGCTCTTGTGGTTGGATTATTTGTAGAGTGGTCGAGGCACGAAGGGCGTTGTCCTTTTTGTGAACAGTGTCGGGTTCCCGATTGGTCCTGGTCTTTGTTGTTCCGAAATCCTATCAGCTCATGTAGCTCGTCGATTCACTTCAGTCGTTCGTCGACGTCAATTGGACTCATGTGGCTCGGATAGTGACGTTCATCGTCGCTCTTTAACACTGAACCGTTCGTGGAGACCTATAGGCAATTTTCGATGCCTACAGATACCCCCTCCAAAGTGTTCCGGACTCGTTTCTTTTATAGAAGAGACTGGAATACTTTGGATGTGATTGGTCTAGCCTTCAGTCGGCATAAGGACCTGTAGTTAGCTTCAACTCTTGGCTCCTTCGATTTTCGGTCTATTCGATGCTTTGACGAATAGCCGAAGTTCTTCCGGCACTGCGTTTATCGCTTGGCCGTCGTCGGAGTCTCGAGTTTGCAGCTGATGAATTGAGTTTGGCTCATGTCATTGAGTTGATTTTGAACTACCTCCGTCACATTGTGTTGACTTAGGGTTTCGGATCATCGTGTGTTGACTTTTCGTCGCAACGCGTTGATCGGCGTTGACCTAGGGTTACGCGTTGACCGGCGTTGACCCTAGGGTTTTGAATCATCGAACGTTGATTAGTGTGGATTTTGAATCCTCGAACGTTGACTTGTGTTGCAACGCATTGACTGGCGTTGACCTAGGGTTACGCGTTGACCGACGTTGACCCTTAGGGTTTCGAATCGTCAAACGTTGACTTTGGTTGCAACGCGTTGACTGGCGTTGACCTAGGGTTACGCGTTGACCGGCGTTGACCCTTAGGGTTTCGAATCGTCGAATGTTGATTGGTGTCGATTTTCATCAAGTCATCCAATAATCGACGAAAACGGGCAAATTCGGGCCTAAAACAGGCGTATGGGGACAAAACGGGACCCGAAACACCCGGGGGTGTCTCACCCTTGGCCGAGACACCTTGGGGTGTCTCGGCCAAGGCCGAGACACCCTAGGGTGTCTCGGTTCTAGGGCCGAGACACCCCCCCCTCTTTGTCTTTTTCTCTTTTGTTGTTTGTTTCTTTCTTCTTTTGTTTGTTTCCCCTTTTGTTTCCCCCTCTTTTCAAAATTCAAAAGGGCTTCCCTCTTAAATTTCAAACCACTTCTTCTTCCTCCATATTCCATACCCCATTGTTTTCAAAACTCAAAACCCATAAACTCTACGAAAAGTTTCGGATTTTTTAGTGTCTTCTCCTTGGCCGAAAATACCCTTTCCTTCAAGCTAGGGTTCCATCATCTTCAACCTCAAGCTTAAAGAAGGCTTCTTGATTTGGTAAGTTCTCCTTCATAGCTCTCCTCTTTTTCAAGAAAGACCATAGCTTTATGTTCTCATGAGTTAGAGGATAGGTTTTTTGGTGATGGGTTGTGTAGGCACAAGAATTTGGGGGGTTTTATGCAAAGTTTGCAACATGACCGAAATTTTTGTGGGGCTTTTATGCAAAATTGCAATATGGACGAAATTTTTGAGGGGCTTTTATGCAAAATTGGACTGAGATTTGGTCTTGGATTGCATATCCACTTGGTCGAAAATTTGAGGGGTGCTTTATGCAAGAAAACCGATGTTGTTTAAGGGGTTTATTTGCAAAAAACAACCCACAAAGTGTAGAGGGGTTTATTTGTAAAAGGGCTGAAACTTAAGGCTGAAATTCCAAAAGTTTAGACCACAACCCAATAACCAAAGTATTGATAAGGGCATGTGGCCGTTAAATTGAAGTTTGTGAAGGGGTTTATTTGCAAAATTGGCTAACTTCATATTTTAGATTGTACCTGACTTGCTGCTTTTTGTTGCAGATTTTCAATGTCTCCGCGCCGATCTCGACCTCGTAGGAGTCGTTCTCATTCACAGCACAGTGGGGAAGAGGTTCCCGCGACATCTTCCCCCGCGGCCTCTTTCTTCGGGGGTGAGAATTTATATATATTTCTTCTGGTATCCCTGATTGACCTCTTTGCGGGTCATGAAGGAAGAACCGACACCCTCCTTCGCGGGGGTTAAGGTTTTAGACTTGTCTTGCTTAGCCAATTCAAGTCTTCTGGTATATTGGGGCGATTTTGTGTCGTCCTACACCTTATAGCTCGGTGTATGTTGCCATGTTACTCACGTGATGATACATACCGTTCTTCCAGTGTAGGACACTCAAAATCGTCTCTCCAATTATTCCGTGGATGAGCTTATCATTCTTCTTATGAATTTTCTGACTCCACCCTTGTGCTTTATTGCAGTGGAGTTTCCCGCGGGCAGCCTTCCTCCTCATGCCAATACCGGTTGTAGCCGGGAGGTTTTCTCTTCAGCTTCCCTTAGGCAGGCTGTTAGCCCACTTCCTCGGTTCGACAGAGATCGCTCAGACGAATCTTGCCGTCTGATACGGGAAGGAGGGCGTCATTGCTTGCGCCGAGCTTCCTGTTCGGAGATCATGTCGAGAATCCTGCTGTGCTGACCTTTGGCGAGGAGCACTGGCTGACTCTTGACGAGGGAGCTTGTTTGTACATCCCCTCGATTCCACGCCAATATTCTTTCAGTCACTTGAAGGGGCAGGCTGTGGAGCGACAGATGTCTTGGCATCTTACTGCTGATGCTGAGCGAGTCCAGTGCGGGTATGCCTCTCATCACAAGACTCCTGGTTCTAGCGGGCATCACGATATCCGGGGCCTTCGACCGGGGATCATGGGCCTTGACACTGCACCTCCAGGCGAGGTGTCAGCAGCTGCTCCTACCGTGGGTAATCGTCTGGCTCTTCTGGGGAGACGGTTACCTTCACCCGAATACAGATGCTATGGTTGGGCTTCCTCACTAGCCAAGGGGTGGTGAGCACGTATGACCAGTTTTGTCTTAGCGCGTTGGGAGAGGGGTCTGAAGAGCAGTTGGTTGTATGCGCCTATACGAGCCACCATGTACGGAATCCCAGTCAGCTGTCGCCATTTCTTGGCTTTGCTGGAGACCTACATGCCTGACAGCAACACTTTTCTGACCAGTGGTGGTGAGTTAGGGTTGGCCTTGCATGAGATGCATCATGTTTCGGGTCTTCCGATGGGGGATTGTCCGTATCAGGAGTATTTTTCCTCGAACCAGCAGTTGGAGTGTATGAAGAAAGATACTCCCGACATGTATGACACTCTGGGATCTTACTTGTCATTATCATACCTCCTTAGTCCAGACTTCTCCTCAATCGAAGAGGAAGCGGCAGGTCAGCTTGAAGCAGTTTGCTTGCTACTTGTTCCAGAACTTGGAGGGTGATTCCAGTGCGCCCATTCGTGAATTAGACGTGTTGACCCCTTCCGCTGTTAATGAGTTGTTGGAGAAGGCTGGAGCTCGTTCTTATACCAAGTTTCGTTCTTTTCTCTGCCGTGCACAGAAGTCCATTGGGCCCCGGACTCTCCTAGCAGGCTATCTTGCCCTTTGGTTGAAGAAATGTGTTGTCCCACACCAGCCTTCAGACGCTCTACCCATTGAGGTGCTCTTCCCTGCAGTTCAGCTAGCTTACGGGAGAGAGCTTTCCCTGCTCCCAGCAATGGTTGCTGGCATCCATTGCAAGCTCAGGTGTCTGGTCAGCAGTTTCACACAGATGAGTTCTGAACCATCGACTGAGCTTATTTGTCCGAAGGTTGAGCTCCCTTACGCATATCTGATGGCGTGGCTCGTTCTTCACCGTCCTGACTTGATGTCGGCGCCTAGCGTTGTTGACATCCCCGTCCCTTTCATGCAGCTGTTGGAGAAGAGCAGATGGCTCGGGAACAAATTCAGTGATGTTCAACGAGAGCTTCGAGTCCGTAAGAGTTGGGAGTTCTTTAAGTGTTTTCCTCACTTTTCAGGTCGCTATGGCGACGTGCTGATTGACGAGGAGAAACCTAGAAGTGACCGGACTGTTCTCGACGCTGGTTGCTTCCGCTGGCTAGTGAACATCCGCGTTGGGTATCTTGTTCTCCGGGTGAAGAATCAGTGCCACATAGAGCCTTACCTCCCTTGCCGTTTTGCTCGTCAGTTCGGCTATGACCAACTGTATGTCGGGAATCCGAGCCGTAGCCTGCAGGTTGAGGGAGGACTGATTGATGGTGTACGAGCATGGCTGTGGACTATGGTGGGCTGCACTGGAGCCCGTTTTGTTCTTCCTTCATATAGGCGTAAGCCACTGACCACTTTCCTCAGTTGTAAGTGGTTCCTTTCAGTCTATGAATCCATAGGTGTGAGGAGCCTTTCAGAGTTACAGTCTGAGTACTCGGCGCGGGCTGCTATGATGGCTGCTTGCAGGGCTGAGCTTGCTCAGAAGTGGAGAAAGGGGCGTGCCAAATCTCTTCTCCCGGATGATGAGGAGCTCCTTCCTACGGGTGACGACGACGAGACCTCCGAGGAAGAATATGTGGATGCAGACACCGACCGAGAAGAATTCGATACAGGTTTGTCATGCTCTTTGATTTTCCTTCTCCATTCTTGTTTGTTTAATGAAATGATCATTGTCACTGTAGGTAGGACAGGTGATGATCATGAGCCGCCAGCTCCTACACACGTTGAAATATGTGACAGGCCTGTGCATGATCGACCCATTGGTCCTAGGAGGGTTGGTGCCCCGAAAAGGAAGAAGACCGTACATAAGTCCCACGATGGTCAGCGTCCTTATGGAGTGGACTTAGGAAGCACCGCCGATGGAGGGGAAGGTAACATTTATTTTCATTGCTTTAAGGTGATTTACCTTTTGGGATTCGTAACCATGTTTTATGCTCCAGGGTTCTTCGAAGAGGGCGAACTCCCACCGGGTTCGGAATCTCCTGGTGTTGATAACATGGATTGCTTCATGCAGCAAATGTGCGACGCCCTTCATGACGGGTCTCTGGGCATCGATCTAAACATCGATCTTGAGCAGATGAATAATGTCGAGCCCACAGTCCCATATTCAGGTATATCTACATCCAATGTTACTTTCCTCAAGCATGGGGAAGGAAGATCATTCGTTCTTGCTGCAAGTATTTTTGAGCTTTCCTCATCTTCCAACATTCAGATTACCCTGCAGATGTCGCGATGGAAAGGCCAAGCTTCTCGAAACCCGATGCTGGCTTATTAGCTGACATGCTGTGGGAATGATTCATTCATAGGTATATATCGGTTCCCTTCATCTTGCCTGATCTTTTTATCTGACTAATGAAGGATTAATATTACAGCGCCAACCATTGGGATTAGCCCGATATCGATTCCTGGCATATCTAGCTTGCCTCGGAGTGACGGACTTGCAGGTACGCATACGATTTAGGGATATCGTATTTCTCTAAGTTCATCTGACTGTTGACTAATACATGAGTGCAATCATAGGACCAGCCACCGGGACTGATTCTCTTATGACTCCTGGCATTCCTCAGATGCCTACGGGTGATGGACCTACAGGTATGCAGATGACCTTATCATCCCAATCCTCCTCATTTGTCTAAATTTTCATTTTGACTAATAAAAAGGTGTCTTCCCGCTGCATCTGAGGACGGTGAGATTGCAGGTATGCATACGATCTTCTTGTCCCGATTCTCCTTATTTGTCCAAATTTTCATTTGGCTAATACAGGAGTGTAACTATAGGACCGGCCGTTGGGCCTGATACTACTACAGTTGCCGGGGCTGAAAATCTGCATAGAAGTGACGTCTCTCCGTCCTTGCCGAGTGATATAAGAAATCCGCCTGCAGGGGTTGATATACCCTCTTCTGCTGCTGTCTCAGAGCCTGTCGGACCTCAGTCTGAGGGGACGTCCGTTGGCGTTGGTATGCTCAGAATTTGCCTTTTGAATTTCCTTATCGTATTCGATAATCCGCTGAACTTCTATGTTGTTGCTTGTAGGATCTCGATCTTCCCTATACGAGCGTATCCGCGCCCTTTTGGTCGATACTGATCCTGACAGAGAGGCTTTTCGTACGGACCTCAGCTTCTTCACTGCCTTTTATAACGGCCTGATCGAGAAACTTCTTCATAGAGGAGGCGGCTTCGATCAGTTCAGGCGTTCCTTTTCTCGCCACATGATGATGATGAGGGAAGAAGGATATCCGGAATTGGCCGACTCCTTCACTACCGATTTCGCTGCCCTGGAGTCAGAGATACGAGAGTTGAAGGAGTTGGAGGTTAACGGGGCTTCTTCTTTCGTGTCCTCTCAGTTGGAGCATAGGATGGCACAGTGGTGTGACCTGAGGTCTTCCATCGGGTGCGAGCTTCAGTCACAGGAGAGCTCCATTGCGCAACTAATGGCTAATGTGGCGAGGAAAGATACGGAGAGAGCTGAGCTACTCCGCTCTTTGGACTCGAACCGCGAGGAAATGGCTAGGTTGAAGGAGGCCTTGAAGTGCGTTGAGGAATCTACTGCTCTTATTGTAGATGACCTGGCTGGACTAGAGCATTCTCGTGAACAGGCACTCGAGGAGCTCGGATCCACCCAGGAGAGACTGATGAAGCTGAAGAGTGAAGCCGCGGAGATTTTAAGCAGTTCTGAGGAATCTGCCCGAGCTGATCTGCATGCGGGACTTGAGCGGAGTTATGTAGATAGACTTTTTAGCTTAAAGTCTCATATTCTCAGCCGTCAGTTGCCTTCGGGCTAACGAGCTTTTTGTTGTATGCTTTTGACTCGATTTATTAATAGAAACTCCGCATTTGCTTCTTTTGTGATTTTTCTGTATTTATTCTGAATGACATGTTTATGGGATTTTTGGCAAACCCCCAGCCATCAACGGGTTTGATATGTCTTTACCGATTACCGTTTGACATCGGACTAGCATGTGAATTATTAAACCCGTCTCACATGTAACGTTGTGCTAAGAGAGTAAACTCTCTGAGGCTTTGTGCTATGATTTTGAATACATAGGCTTCGTCTTTCTCACGGGAATAGACTACCCGGCAACGCGTGTTAGGCGTTGGCTTATCCCTACTTAGGCTTCGGGATGAAATTCCCCGTGCATCGAGTGCCCGGATTGGAAGTTGAGAATCGTGTCTTTTCTAAAAGCAAAGACAGACTGAGAAACGGGAGAGGAAGAATTTTATATTCTATCTCCCGGTGCTGAAGAGGAAGAATTTTATATTCTATCTTCTGCCGGAAAGGAAACGGGAGAGGAAGAATTTTATATTCTATCTCCTGGTGCTAAAGAGGAAGAATTTTATATTCTATCTTCAGCTGGAAAGGAAACTCGAGGTGGGATCTCCACCCCCAGAATCCGGAAGGATGAAACTAAGAGTGAGATCTCCACTCCGAGAATCGGAAAGGTTCGAACGACCCTAACTTTATAGGATTGGTCACTTGAACCCAAAGAACCCCTCATTCATTGAGGAGAAAACCCAATTTCAACCCTAACTTTTATAGGTTTGGTGGAAAAGGGGACAAAGGTGGATTTTCGTTTATCGAAAAATGAATGACTCGACCTTAGTCTTGACTATCTGTAGGCTTGACTAAGCGAGATCGGGAACAATCCTGACTTTTACAAGTTTGACTGCTCCAATTGAAAGTGGACCTCTCGTTCATGGAAGGAATCGAGAGAGGAATTTGGCTTTGGCCCTAACTTTTATAGGTTTGACCAAGCAGGAGTTTGAGATGACCCTAACTGTCGGAAGGTTTGATCACTCCATTTGAAAGTGGACCTCTCGTTCATTGAAGGAATCGAGAGGGGATTTTGGCTTTGGCCCTAACTTTTATAGGTTTGACCAGAAAGCAAAGAAAGTGGAATACGGGTAGCAAAGAAAATGCCAACTCGTATTATCACTCAAAGTGAGACTTTAACGATAGGTGATTATGACCTAACATGTTGAGTCTGAGAAATGCCAATGACTGGCAGATAGAAATGTTGGTGGATCCACTGTCGTTTAATTTGATCAGTGGATGGTTTGGTGAGGAAAGATTAACCTATCAGAGGATTAGATCTCATCTCACAAAAATAACTCATAAGAGTTGGAGAATCTTGATAAAAATAAGAAGAGACATTCTGACCTTCAGAGTTCGAATGTAGATTTCTTATTTGTCAATTCCACAATGACTGGGTTATCCCTAAGAATACACATGTGGTATTCTTCCGGGAACTTCCCGATGCATTGGTTATCCTGAAGATACTAAGGATAGTATCTTTTTCAGGAATTTGCCGTTTATCGGCATCATGAGCCGGTCGCCGTCTTTGGTGACGAGGCGATATGCGCCACTCGAGTAGACTGTCTCCACTACGAATGGTCCCTCCCATTTGGGTTCAAATTTACTAAGGATTATCGGTCGGCGAGCAGTGAGGACCAGATCTCCTTCTTTGAAGCTTCTCTGTCGAACTTTTTTGTCGAAGGCTCGAGAAATTCTAGCTTGGTAAAACTCAATATGCTGTTGAGCTTCCAGGCGCTCTTCATCGAGCATCTCGAGTTCTTCGAGGCGTTTCAGATGTTGTTCTTCGGTCGTCATCTGGGTTGCAAGAGTGATCCAAAGAGACGGGATTTGGATCTCCAATGGAAGAACAGCTTCACATCCGTACACCAGTGAATACGGGGTTGCTCCCGTTGGTGTGCGCACCGTGGTCCGATAGGCCCATAGAGCTGCGCCAAGCTTGTCATCCCAGTCTCGTTTATTAGTTTTCACAATCTTTGACAAGAGTTTGATGATAGTCTTGTTGAAGGCTTTAGCTAATCCATTCGCTGTAGGATTATAAGCCGTCGACGAGATATCCTGAATTTTAAACTTTTCGCAGAACCTTATGAAGGCGTTGCTGACAAACTGAGGACCGTTGTCATGTATGATTCGTCTTGGAACACCATACCTATAGATGATATGGTGCTTGATGAATGCAATGACGTTGCTCGTTTTAACTTCTCTGAGTGGAACTGCTTCAGCCCATTTAGAGAAGTAATCGGTAATTGCCAGGATGAACCGGTCGCCCTTGACTCCAACAATGTCCATTCCCCAAGTCTCGAACGGCCATGACGTAACCGAAGGATGCAGATGCTCCGGAGGTTGGTGCATATAATTCCCGTGTATTTGACATGCATCACACTTTCGGACATACGCAATCGCATTACTCATCATGGAAGGCCAAAAATACCCCATTCTTCTGATGCGATCGTAAAGCATGGGACCAGGTTGATGTGCGCCACACTCTCCTTCATGCGCCTCCCTAAGGACCTCTTCAGCTTCTTTGGTTGATAAGCAACGTGCTAGCAACCCATCGTACCCCCTGCGGTATAGCGTTCGATTCTCCGTATTATAGTAGAATCTTGGTGCTCTTCGTCTGATTGACTCTCTTTCCTTCACATCTTCTGGCAAGATTCCATGCAAGACGTAGTCGATGATGGGGAAACGCCAATCTCGTGGTTCAAACTCGATTTGAGTAGCGTGCGCCTCTTGAACCTCTTCTTCCTTGGCCTCTTCATTGTAAAGCGGTATTAGAAGTTGGTGAGTTCTTACCGTAACAAACTGCTCTGTTTCAGGAGGCTGCGCCAGTGATACGGCTAATGCTGCCAACGCGTCTGCATAAGTATTCTGTAGCCGTGGAATATGTTCGATAAAGAATCCTTCAAATGATTCCGCTATCTCCACTGCCATCTTATGGTATGGAATTAAATCCTGACTTCGGACTTCATATTCTCCTTGACTTCATATTCTCCTTGAACTTGCTTGACTATCAGCTGAGAATCTCCGAAAGCCTCGAGATACTCAACCCCCAGCTCTTTAGCGAAGTTGAGTCCTATAATCAACGCGTTATACTCTGCTACATTATTCGAACATGGCTCGGTTAGCGAGTAGGCTCGAGGCATCACATGTTTTCCTGGGGAGACTAAGACAACTCCCACTCCGGAAGAAATCTTAGAACTTCCAGGAGCACTTGCTACAATAGCTGCTCGGGAAGCGCCATCGAAGTACAAACGCCATACTTGTTGGTGCGAAGTTGCGTTGACTTCGTGGGTTTCATCGGGTAGGTCGTCATATATCTCAGCGGTGTCCGTAGTTGGATTAGCTGCCAGGAGATCACAGATGGCCTGCCCTTTTACTGACTTCTGTTGTTTAAAATGTAAGTCGTATTGGGACAAGAGTAAGGCCCATTTTGCTAATCGCCAGCTCATGGAAGCTGGTTGAGTCATGAATACTCGAACCGGATTAACTTTAGAGATGACGTAAATGGTCTGCCCGACCAGATAATGTCGCATCTTCTGAATGGCGAACACCAAGGCGAGGCATTCTCTCTCAATCATAGGATATCGAGATTCGGCGCCTACCATGGTTCGGCTCAAATAATATACTGCCTGCTCATGACCGTTATCGTCATCTTGTGCAAGTAATGCACTTAATGAGTGGCTCGTCACCTTGACATAAATCAAGAACGGTTTGCCCGATTTCGGTGCAACGAGTACAGGAGGTTTCGAGAGATATTCTTTAATACTCTCGAATGCCTTTTGACAAGCGTCATCCCATACAAAAGACACGCCCTTCTTTGTGAGCTTGGAGAATGGTTGGCATTTTCCTGAGAGGTTCGAGTTGAACCGACGAATATAAGCTAATCGCCTCCCTGAGGTTCCTCGGAGGTTGTAATTCATTGATCGCCTTTACCTTATCAGGATCGATGTGAATACCTTTGGTGGTGACGACGAATCCCAGGAATTTACCACTAGACATTCCGAGGAAAGACTTGGTAGGATTCATCTTCAATTGATGGGCTCGCATCAAGTCGAACATGGTCTTCAAGTCCTTAATGTGATCTTTTTTATCACGACTTTTCACGACCAAATCATCTACGTAGCATTCGACAGTCTTTCGGAGATGCTCCTGAAAGATCTTTGACATGGCTCGTTGATATGTAGCACCTGCATTCTTCAAGCCGAAGGGCATAACCGTGTAGCAGAAAACGCCGAGAGGTGTTCTAAATGCAGTATGCTTTTCATCATCTGGATGCATCTTTATTTGGTTATAACCAGAGAAACCATCCATGAAAGACATCCTCTCGAACCCGCACGTATTGTCGATGATAACATCCGTGATGGGAAGGGGAAAATCATCTTTTGGGCAAGCAGTGTTAAGGTCTCTAAAGTCAATACAGACCCTGATCTTCCCGTTTTTCTTAAGGACCGGGACAATGTTGGCAAGCCATTCTGGATGTTGCTCTTCCCTAATGAAGCCTGAGTCCACAAGCTTTTTAACCTCAGCTTCGATCGCCTCCATCATTTGCGGACGAAACCGTCTTTGTTGTTGTTTGACAGGTTTGACATCCGACTTAATATTGAGGCGATGCACTGCTACGTTTGGGTCGAGCCCTGGCATGTCTTCATAATTCCAGGCGAACACATCGATGTACTCTCTGATAAGAGAGATCAATTCTTCTTTCTCCTCGGGTAGGAGACTGTCGCTAATGAATATCGACTTCGGATTTTCCTCACTTCCCATATTCACTTGGACTACTTGATCTTCAGTAGGAGGTTCTCTTTGCTCAAACCTATCACCATACTGCATGTTTAAGTGATGAACCCACGGATCTTCCCATGTCGGCATCTGGTTGTCTTCCTCTATTGTGGTAGGATCGACCGTAACCATGTTCGACATCAACCTTTTGAACATTTCACCAAGGCTAGCGTCAGAATCCCAAGCTGAAGA